AATTTCTCACTCATTGTTTCAAATTTTGCCCTGAAATGCTCTTATCTGAGGTATCTCATCTATCCATACAGTTTTAAGTACCTTTCATATGCTGGTGATGTTTAATCTCAAATTTATTATCTATTCCAGGTCTTTTCTCTTGAGCTTCAGACCCAGAAATCCAATTGTCTACTTGTGAAGTTTCACTGTGAAACTAGATGTCTCACAGGCTTCTCAAACTAATCAGTTTTCAAAGTCTGTTTGCCCTTTCAGTGACAAGCCCCATTATGCATCCATTTTCATGACAAAATTCTGGGAGTCATCCTTGATATCACCTTCTCCATCTGCACCCAATCATATCAACTAAGTCCTATGCATTCTTTCTCTATTACGTATCTCAAATCCATCTAATTCTCTTCATCTCTACTGCTGCCACCATCCTGGAGCACACCATGACCTCCTAATTATCTCTCAATTTTCATTACATGCCTGGATCTCTAACCCCATCCTACACAGTAGCCAGACTAAGCTTATAAAAAAAACAAATCTGATCATATTTCCATCTCCTCCATAGAAATCTCTTAATGGCTTTCCATTCATCTCTGGAGAGAGTCCAAACTCCTTGTGGTCTACAAGGCTTGATGTGATCTGGTCCTGAATAGTTCTCCAGTCTTTTTTACCCCAACATTTTATTATGAAAATCCAACAGACTGCAAATTGGAAAAAAAAAAATACAGTAATTATCCATAGACTCACTACCTTGATTTAGTCCTAAGCATTTATACTTGCTTTATCATATGTCTATTCATTTATCCATTCCTCTATCCTAGCATTAATCTTTCTTGCTTTTGGTACATTCTAAAATGAACTGCAGACTCCAGTCCCATATTTGTCACTCTTCTCCCTGCTCCCAGCCATAGTCATCTTTCCATTCCTTGAATCAGGCTATTTGATCTCTCTGAACATTTGTACCTATTGTCCCTTCTACCTAAAATGCTTTCAGCTCTTGTTAATTGCAGATTCATCCTTTAGTTCTCAGCTTCAGCTGTCTCTAAGAGGCTGTCCTTGAACGCCTAATCTAAATTAGATCCACCTTTCTACCTTATGACCCCAAGGCACCTTGTGCCTTTCCTAAGTATCACTTACCACAATTGGTAACTATATATTTATTTGCAAAATTATTTGTCTAATACTATCTCCTCTGCTAGGTTGAAAGATCTGTGAGGACAGAGACCATGTCTGTACTGGAACATCCTGTATCCCTTCTGCAAAACCTCACTGTTTGTTGAAGGAATAAAAGGCCGAATGAATCAATAATTGAAAGGAGCTACTCAAAAAAGTAAACTGATTCTTCCTTTAATATGTATAAACAAGATAGTTTTTAAAAAAGGCTTCTGAGGGAAGATGGAACCCACTTATTGCCAGAATATAACCAACAAGTACATTAAGTAATAATAACAGCTACAGTGAATTAACGCTGGGCTTTGTATTAGTCATGTCCCAAGTGCTTGAGTACTTTCTCTGTATCAAATAATTTTTCTTTGGCATGGGGTCTATTGTTAGTCCTATTTTCCAGCTAAGGAAACTGAGAACAGAGCAGTTATTTTAAAACACCCCATCTATGTAGAATATTCAGTCTGTGGCCCCATTTGAAAGTAGGAAGATTAATCTAGAAAACTCACAGACTGCTGTAATGGAGATAGGGTTTTACTTGGCTCTAACAGAAGCCTAAAAATACAGCAGGAAACCCACAAATAGATTTAAGAGACGAATCCTTGGTTAGAAAACCTGGAGTTTCGTATCAAAAAAAGAAGAAAGAAACCAATCAAACCGTTGTGTTGACTTTATTTTTGTGGGAAATTTCAACCCACCCAAGTCCCTTCCTCATATATAACCCCATACACACACTTCAAATTATCCCTGCAAAGGATTTTATGCCAGATGGAAACATGGCTTACACACCAAGATAAAACCATTGCAATCTTTCCCATAGTAAGAGCTGATAGTTAAAGGAAAATGAAGCAGTGCAGAATTTCCTAGTGGGAGAACCTGGCCTTCAGACACTGGCTTGAGTTGGCAAGGTTTTCCACTGACTGTGTGACTTTTGGCAAATTGGTAACATCTCCAGTCCTCGGTTGCATCAGTTTCCTTATTTGAAAATGGAAATAACAACATCCATTTAACAGGGTTTAGATATACTGAAATGCTATACATAAAGAGCTCAGCACTTTATGTATTTGGAACATAGAAGATGCTCAAAGATGTTAACTTTAAAAGAGGAGGAAGGATAGGGAAAGGTAGGGGAGAGCAGTAATTTTCATGCTCAGAATTAAAAAAAAAAAGAGTCCTAGGAAATTTATTTAATAAATGCTGCCATCATGCATTATTTTGAGAGAGAGAGAGAGAGAGAGAGAGAGAGGAGACTGAGAGAGGGGAGCTTGGGTGAAAGTGTCCTTTAGCATTTGCATTGCTCTTAGCTGGATGAACTTGCCTGCAGCCACCACTTACAATGCAAATTGAGTTTAGAGTCCTTCACACTAACTACACAGCAAAAATCTTTCAGCTTTAAATAGAACACTGCAATGTGGAATGATCTGAGCAAATGGAAGAAAAATTCAGAAATACATGTAAGGAGATATTTTGGAGGGGAAAAAAAAAGAACAATCTGACATAACCGAGCAGGTAGGAGGAAACTGTAGAAATATTAAAAGAAACAGAAAAGCAAGATCTATAGAAGGACCTAGAAGCTAATTTCCCACCCAGTAAGTGGATATAAGTTCATAAAGGGGAAGAAAACTTTTGGGGCAAGTTCCCAGGGAGGAGAATTTTAACAAAGATTCTTTTGATCTGGTGCTCTTTCAAGGTATGCTAACACGTCTTAAGGTATTGGAGGACTCTTCCCCCTCTGGCAGCAAAATTGCATGAATCTTCCCTGAAACAAATAGGTCAAAACCATAGAGAACTTCTTGCTCTATCCAACTTCTGGTATTTACATCATTTAAGCTATATTTTTCTTTTATTTCCATACCTTCTCTAAGATCAGATTTTAAAACCTGGAAGCTACTGTGAAATAAAGGTTTGCTAGTTTTGAGTGCATTTAGTATGTGTGTGTGTGTGTTTGAGAAACAGAAAGAAATCTGAGAGGTTGATTCTTACATGTCAGAAAGCTCATTGCTATAAACTCATATCTTAATTTTTGACTATATGAACCTAGTTATTCTATCCAGAGTCAGATTTTTCAAAAATGCAATAAAACTAAGAACAAAGGTAATATCCAGGGCCCTGAAAGCAATAATGTCATTTTTAACTGATTTCTTCACGATTGACACTCCTATACACATAGCTCCACTTCGGGCATTTTCTCAGCTTGCTAAGTTTCACTTGCCTGCATAATGTAATATACAGGAAAACACAAGGCGGCTCTCTTTGTAGTTACAAACAGAAAGAAATATTCCCCCATAAGCCAACAGACTCAAGGCAACTTCTCTCTTGGATGACATGCTTAGATACAGAGTCAGTCATATGTTATCAGGTCACTGAGTCAGTGACAAAGCACTAAGACTGAGGGAGAACATCTTACAATCAGGTTGCCATCACGTGCAGAAAAAGAATTGGTAAGTATGGTGCTCTGTTTAGTGGAGGGATGGTCTGCACATCTTGAAAGCCATCTCTAAGCTCCTAGAGGCCAGAGCTTACAACCCTGCTTTATCTGTCTAGCACTATGGGCTTATTAGGCTTGATGCTCTCCAAAAATGATGACAAATGGAGAATATACTTTCAATAGCACTAGGCATTCCTTCTAGCTAGAACTTCCAGAGATGTTTATAGAAGATGCCACCTTTGCCCCCAGATGTGTGTGTATCTTTTTATGTCTTTCAGAGCTTGAACCCTTTTACTCCCCCCCATCACATTTCTCTAGGCATCTTTTGATTTAAATATTAACTCAATTAAACATTACAGAAATTTTAGCATCTAAGAATAATAATTTTAAATTAACACTCCTTGCAACATTGTCCGAAAGCACTTCCACATACGTCTTCTCGCGTGGATATTACAATGTGGTAATGTAACACTTAATATGACTGGCTAAGGATAAAGGCCGACAGGTAGAAAATGAAAGCAAAAATGCAAAAGTTTTGGCTTGGCGGTGGGGGCGGGGGGGATGCCTCTACTCTCTATTCACACACAAAAGGCAGAATGAGATTCCACCTGCTGACTTTCCCTCCCTGCCCGCAGATCACTAGGGCTAAATGTCAGAGCAAGCTGGGAGAGAGGGAGAGAAGACAATTTCACCTCTTGGCAAAGCTCAGCCTGCTGAACCCTCTTGCTTTCTGCTGGCTGTTGATTCAGCAGAAACTACTGCTGCAGAATTCATAATGGTGATTTTTAAAGGCCCCACCGACCGCGTTGCTCGCCCCACGTGTCAGCCTCATTCGCTGGCCGCCAGAGCACGATTTCTCCAGCCACCTTTTTATTTTTGCTAATACACTTCCAAAAGGAAAGAGGTTCTCCCGTTTGCAAAGGGCCTTTTGGGATTTTGATTGTCTGAGCAGGTAACCTGGCCGACCGGGGAGATGAATGGGCAGGAAATGAAACCATGCCCTCCCTGTAGCCACTGTGAGACACAACATCGTTTCGCTCAGGGAGGGGGGACCAAGGTCCTACTGGGCCCCTCCTTTTTTATCTCCCCCCAAGACCCCTGCAAATATCTTGGGGGAGGGGTCATCTGCCTTCCTGGGGTCATCTTTCCGGGCGAGAGCCCCACCCTGAAAAGCCTAATCCCTGAGGGCCATTTTAACTCCTGTGGGCGCCGGGTCCACCTGCTGCTGAACGCCGGGCTCGCCTCACGGAGCCCGGATGGATGCGGGGCGCACAGGCGGCTGCCGGGGCCAGCCGAGCCCCCGCCCCAGCCCCGGGGCCCGGAGGAGTCTCCGCCACTACGCGCCGGGCTGCCCGCGAAGCACAGTGATCCGCAACTTGCGCCCGGCCCCAGCGGCGGAATGCGGCGGGGCTGGCGTTACCTTCGGTCGCATAGCTGTGGTCGCGCAGGAAACTGTTGTTGATTTTGCGGGTATCAATGTCCTCCTCCATTGACAGCAGGCTTACTTGCGTGGGAACCAGAAGCCGGCAGACAAGTATCCATGATCCCTCCCCGCAGCCAGTCTCACAGGAGAGGGGGGCAGGGGAGCCAGTGGGACTGCACCATGGTCCGAGCCTGAGGAGGAGACGGGGAGGCGGAGAGAAAAAAAATAAAAACCCGGCAATGGAGCTGTCACCTCCTCCACTCGGGTTCTGCGAGGCTGCGGCGGCTCCTCCCGCGCGGTGCGCTCACTCCAGCTCCAATTCCCAGCGAGGATGCTGCGCTTGCCTCCGCTGCCTCCGGGTGCCAAGATGCGCCGTGCCCCGAGGGGTCTGGTCCCGCCCGCCGGCCCGGGAGGCGCTCACAAGCCGGGCTGGGGAGATGCCCAACAGGTTCCCCTCGTTGGCAGCCGCTTCAAAATGCAAAAAAGATCCCTCCTCCCCCTGGGAGAATGGGCAGCCGCGACAAAATGGTGCCTTTCTGGACCGGAGCTGCAGTGGCGAGATGGCAGGGGCAGGATTCAGGCTTGCCTGGCCGGGATGAGGGTGCTGGTCCCACGGGAGGGCGGCTCCGGCAGGCGGGGTAGGGAAGCTGGCGGGAGCTGGGCAGGGCGCTGCGGCCGGCGCCAGCGCACTCACCCTCACACCCACACGAGCGCACTCGCAGCTGCTGCTGCTGCTGCTGCTGCTGCTGCTGCAGGAGGCTGGAGGCGGCTGGTGCATTAAAGGCGAGGCTCCTCCCAACCGCGTCAGCAGCCCCAGGACTCTTTCCCAGCAGCGGTGGTGGCCGAGGCAGAGGCTGCGGCTGCTCTTTGCTGCAGTGGGGCGCATGCAGCCGCGAACCGGCACCTGGGCAGCAAGCAGCTAGCTTGCAGGTTCATGTGGAACGCATAGACGTGCTCTCCCAACCTCCTCCCCTCTCGGGCCACTCAGCTAAGGGCCGTGTCTACGCTGGCACCTTAGAGCCCCTAGCTCACTGCCTTTCTCCGGACACCTGCACTTGAGGACAGCAAAGAGAAGTAGGTTCCTTTGGATAGTCAGGAAGTCTACATCCAGGACCCTTTTGCTCACCCTTATATGATGCATGTGGTCCCTTGGTGAAGTTAAAGGATAAGGTTTGGGGCTCCAAGCTTCAGAAAAAGAGGAGTGAGTGGAAACCGCTGCTCAGTGCCTATCTTAAGCCTTCTGTACTAGCAATAGAAGGGAGAGCAGGGGCCGGAACTTTGTTAACTGACTCCTCCATTCCTAAGAGTTAAATATCTTCTAACTGTAGGAGGCTGGTATTCAATAAAGCATTTGTGTCTGCACAGGTGGAGGAGAGCACATGACTGAGTTATGAATGCAGTCAACAGGGTCAGTCTGAAAAAGTCCACTCTCCCTTGCCCTTTGCACTTCGTTTTGGACAAATTACTGCAGCCCCTCTGTTAGTTTTTACTCATGCAGGAACACCTTCCATTTGCTCTCAGCATGGAAGATACATTGAAGCACAGCAACATAAGCGTAAGAGCCCTGTGCCCAGGGAGCCACTGCTACCCGGGGGGGATTTTCAGGTAACCAGTTAATAAGGAAAAAAGACCTGTCTTCCCACTTCAATTAGGAAAAAAATGGAGAATTCCACCCCCACCCATGTTTTCCCAAATTTCAAACTCAACTTATGAAAGAAAATAAAATCATCATTATTATGAAACAACCAAAAACATTTAATGAAGTAACCCAAATCGTTAGATAACCAATTTGGAAAAGAAATCAACCCCGATCACTAGAAAGCCAATTTGGAAAAGACATTTCCTAGGTTTCATCTTGCAGAGGGTATTCATTTCAATGGGTATCACTGCAGAGAGAAACATCAGCAAATGTCTTGCTCAGTTAAGCTCTACAAGTTTAGCTTAGATGAGCCCAGAGGGACCTATGAGTTAATTATATACACACAATGCTTCAACTAACACAATTTAGAAAGTATTTGAAGTTCAAAAAAATGGAAAAACAAGTCCTTTACTGATGTTGGGAATTGTTATTAGATTTCCATGCAGTATGGAGACTTCTGGTACATGGAAAATGGCATCATCCCCATCTTCAGAAAGTGACTGCGTATCTCTGGGAGAAAAAGAGTAGAAATGTTCCTTGACATAGTTTTTGTTTGTGTGTATGTGTAGGTGGGGGAGGAGTTCAACGTTCAACGTATTCCATTTTATTTTCATCTGGTGGTTAAGGCTTACACACTTGTTTGTTCGAAATCCACATTTGAAATTTTAGTAACAGGTGAAGACAGGTACAAGTTGATTTAATCTGCTTCAGTACCAGTTGTCCTGGCTGGTTCTTCCATGGGATGAGATGCATCTATCATCAAGGTCTGACATTCAGTCCTTTTGTAGTTACACAGTCCAGCTTCTCTTGGAGATTGGCATAATTTGGAGTAGGAGTGGGGGGTGGGGTGGAGGGCGGGTGGAGTGGGGGCGGGGAAGCTAAGTTCATCTCTTAGTGAATCAAAATGATGAGAAGACATTGTGCCTTCAGTTGGAATGACCTTAAATCGTTTCAGGAGGCCTTGGAATAGTATTTGGGAAAATTTCTTCCTTATCTTTCTGAATCATGGGCTAGATTGGGACAGAGCTGTGTGATGAATCATGTAGGCCCAGGCTCATTGGCCAGGCTGTGCTTGAGGAATTTTCACTCTGTGGCCCAGCCTGGAGTGCAGTGGCACGATCTCAGCTCACTGCAACCTCCGCCTCTCAGGTTCAAGCAAGTCTCCTGCCTCAGACTCCTGAGTAGCTGGGGCTACAGGTGCCCACCACTGTGCTCAGCTAATTTTTGTACTTTTAGTAAAGACGAGTTTTTTGCCATGTTGGCCAGGCTGGTCTAAAACTCCAAAGTGCTGCGATTACAGGCATGAGCCATGGTGCCTGGCCTCACTAGATTTTTCATATTGACTAACTGGCACTTAGTAGATGCTTAATTATATTTGTTGGAGACAAACATTTCTTAAACAAATGAATAAATTGCTGAATATCTCATTTTAATATTTAGTGTTCATACCTCTACCCTTCTTAAAATTCATACTAATATAATCTGTTGTGAGCTGGAAATTTTCTAGATTATAAGCTATATTCCTATTGAAATAATTGTTTCTATTTATTTCTGTATGCATATACACGATCAAAATTTACTGAGCACTTAACATATACAAAGAATTGTTCTGGCCAGGCCTGGTGGCTCATGCCTGTAATCCCAGTACTTTGGGAGGTCAAGGTGGGTGGATCACGAGTTCAGGAGATTGAGATCATCCTGGCTAACACGGTGAAACCCCATCTCCAGTAAAAATACAAAAAAATTAGCCAGGCGTGGTGGCAAGTGCCTGTAGTCCCAGCTACTCAGGAGGCTGATGCCGGAGAATCATTTGAACCTGGGAGACAGAGGTTGCAGTGAGCTGAGATCGGGCCACTGCACTTCAGCCTGGGGGACAGAGAGGGACTCCATCTCAAAAAAAAAAAATTGTTATAGGTGCCAAGGGTATAGATTTATACAAAACAGAGTTCCTTTCTTCATAGAACTTAAATTCTATCATTTAATTTTAATAACATGAGCTTTCTTAGAAATACAGCAAATGCATTCTATATCAACTGACTATAGTGCAGTGTTAAGTGCTAAGGATCTGATATCAGGCAGAGCTAATTTTCTTTCACTTACTTTTGTTTCCTCAAGGAAGTTACAAGATCTCCCTAAACCATGGTTTTCTTACACATAAATTAGGAAGATGAATAGCATTTATTTCATAGAGTTATTGCAAGGATTAAATGAGATAATATGTGGAAAAAATACATTTCTATTACTTTGAATATTTACTTTCACCATCATCACCACCATCAAAGTTCAACAAATGTGCAAGTATTTACTATGTCAGACACTGGGATAGGATTAGAGATTCAGCAGAGATTCAGCAACATCAGTGCATAAGATGTAGTCAGTCTCTGATGTCATAGAATTTAGTGTCTAATTTGCAGTTTATGTAAAAGGGGCCATAGTCCACAAAGGGGGCAGCTGAGGGAGCTCTGAAAGACTGACCTGTTTCAGGCTGATGCTTTTTGTTGTTGTTGTTGAGACAGTCTCACTCTAAGGCTAGAGTGCAGTGGCACAATCTTGGCTCACTGCAACCTCCACATCCTGGGTTCAAGCGATTCTCGTGCCTCAGCCTTCCAAGTAGCTGGGATTACAGGCACACTCCACCACACCCCGCTAATTTTTGTATTTTTAGTAGAGACGAGGTTTCACCATATTGGTGAGGACAGTCTCAATCTCCTGACCTTTTGATCCACCTGCCTCAGCCTCCCAAAGTGCTGAGATTACTGTGCCCAGCCTCAGGCTTATGGTTTACATAGAAAAGGCCAATTACAAATACACAACCTTCAAAAGTTACCCAGTTCAGTATGACAGCATGTGGCCACATTCTTTTTTTTTTTTGACCACCCTTGTTATGGTCCCTTTCCCTAACACTCACATACTCCTCCTCCTTCCTACCCTGGAACCTTTTAGGTCATCCTGTCCAATTAGCACATTAAATATCTACAATTTTATTAAAACCTTTGACCTAAGCCAGTCTGGAGATTCTTAATAGAGGCTTTAGGTGTCAGACAGTCCTGGTTTGTGTCCCAGCTCAGGCATTTATAAATTGCATGACCTTTGGTGAGTAATTTAACATCGCTGAAACTCTATATTTGCAAATGGAAGAAAACAATAGTTCACACGATTGTTGGGTGGTTTCAGAGGCAAGGTAAGGAAAGTGCTTAATCCAGGTTTGGCTCAGAGCCAGGCTTCACTAAACTGACTGCTCTACCTTTTGCAGTACTTCATGAGATCTCCCATCTGCAGAGAATTGGAGAGATGCACTCTGAGTCAATTGTTCATGTGAACAGAAGTGACCTAGAAACCTTGGTTTTACTGCCTATCAATCTGTCTTAATAAACAGCTGGAAACGACACATGAAATTTTATCATCTTGCAAAAGGCCCTTTATAAACCATGAAGACATGTGCAAATGAAAGGAATTAGGATTATCTTCTCTTGACTTTCACATTACATATGTGCAGACCTGGTCACATTTCTCTATTGTGGAATCATATGGAATTTCTCTCTGTGATCACTAAGAACCAATTGCACAACTCTCTCTCTAAGGTGGGTTACATGCTGACTGTCCAGAGGATGACCTCTTGAATTTTTAGCAAGTTTGCAATTCCTGTTTGTGCATGCTACAACATGTAATACCACATAAGTGATCCTTTAACACGGCATTTAACCTGGGAAAAGAAAGCAAAACCTCTTGTCCTCAAAGTGTCTGTTGTATTAATTCTAGACTCTGGACTGTTAATAGATTTTACCATGTAAATGTTTCTGCAGCTGAAATTTAAGTACTGAGTGACATCATGTTGGTAGCTTAACATCAGAAATCTGCTATGGTAGGATATTTATATTGTGGGGGGAAAAAAACCCTATGTAAATTCCGTTTTTTTTTTTGAGGCCCAGTTGTTAAAC